GGCTTAAGCTTAGGCTTAGAGTTTAGCTTACAAGGAGATGTTTTTTTCGTTGGGCACGGAGTTTCGAGACGGGACCAAGCCTTAGGTTTAGGCTTAGCTTAGCTTTTTAGCTTAAAAGCAACCCTAAGCCTAGGCATCACAAGCTAATTTTCAATCCAGTCTTCAAATACTGCCCTATATGGCACGGAAGTTAAAAATAAGTAAATAGATAACCAGGGTTGAAAAGCCGCTTCGCGACTTTTCAACCCTGGAGCCGTCTAACTCCCATAATATTCCTCGCTCTGCATAATTCGTCCGAACTGCGATGAGAAATACTGAGAAGTGCTCCCTCTCTCCCATTAAATAAACTATGGCCACTTCCGGCGTATGCTAATTATGTCCTAACAAAAAGGCTGTCCGATTTTTCAACAAAAACTTAATTTGAATGTCGAAAATAGTCTAAATTGCAAAATCTAGTAAGCGTGCAGTCATCTCGGTGTCATTACGCACCTAATGGCGTATCGTACGTGGCTTAAAAATCTTCCCCTCTTGAGTTATTCTCCGGACACGGTGACGGAAGTTGCATGCAAATGCACACTGACACACAAACACTATTTTTTTATATATAGTAGGATCGTTAAAAAATGGCCTCAGTTTACGCCGTTTCCAAAGGCTACTTAGCGCCGAAGAAATGGTGGTGATTGTCGTGGTAGCTATGGTGGTGATGGTTGAGGGGAAGAAGGGGTTGTTTGGCCTGTGTATACGCTTCGGTGAGGTGTCGGGAAGGGGGAAGGGTTGAGGGCAGTTGCATGTGCATCATCAACTCAAAGACAAAGGCAAACGAGGTGGGGGCCCTAGTGAACATACTACCCAATTGCTGTAACATCACCATATACCCAGCGGAGCGGCTAGCAGAGGTTCTTTAGGAAACGCCATAGCGGGCCAGGATTTCTATCATTATGAAAATGCAAATATGGTCACATTACTCGTCAGTGTTTGAGGTGGGTTCTTTCAACGTTATGGGGGTGGGAGGAGGAACTCATTATTTTCCTAAGATCTAATTTTTCAAAAATAAATAGTGGAAAGGTTTCTAATTGGTTTTTAGTATTCCTAAGCCTCAAAACTTTAAAAATTTGTATTTTAAAAAAACCAACAATATTCATTTTGTTATTTTTTTTTACGAATATCTAGACTTTTTAAAGTTTTTAGACGGTTTTGTAGTTTAAATACACTTAATCCTTCAAACTACTATTAAAGCACTTGCTATCACTTATTAGGCATTTCTAGACTTATACAAACGTTCGGTGCCCCCCCCGATAATGCGAAAGAACCTAGAAGCTACACCAAATTCGCTCCATACCCGAAAAAGAAAGAACGACACGCGTGAGGCTAACAAGGAGACGGTTTTCAGTGTGAATGGAGTTTTAAGTTGAAACCGGGCCTATTCTGGGCAGAATTTTGCGCTGATTCCGATGCTGTTTTCCAATTTTGCTAAATAGCTCAATTTAAAAAGTTACAGCTATTTTAAGATAATTTTTAGGCCCAGAGTAGCCATCATGCTATGCTGTGCTACTTTTTTGTTACAACGTTTTAATTTTGTTTAAGTAGCCTATCTTGTAGAAAATTTTTTTCTGATTCGAATGGTGTATTTGATTAGTGCGCTACTGCCGATCGACAATGGCTTACAGGGGTGAGAAATAGACTGTTTTTCTCCATTTCCCATACAAAAATCGCAGCCCATACCAAGTATCGTCGATTTTTTCGATTTTCAACAATTTTGAGTTAAATAGCTCATTCGATAGAGAAAATTTTTCTGAATACGGTGACGATATTTATTTTTGGAAAAACAGCCGGGAAAAGCAATATAATGGTCCCTAAAGAGGGGAAAATTTGGGCTAAAATGATCGTAAAATTGCTATAACTTTTGAAATCGAGCTATTTAGCAGAAATGGAAAACATATTCGGAATTAGCGCAAAATTCTGCACAAAATAGGCCTGGTTTCCACTCAGAACTCCATTCACACCGAAAAACGTCTCCTTGTAAGCAAAAAAATGGGCAGCTTCTCCCTGGTGAGATCTTGGCCCTAGCGCCACGGGGGACCAGGTGACAAATGGCACCAACAGTTGGACACACGCCAATCAGGCTGAGGCCCAGCATCAAGGAGACGAAATGGATCGATCAGCACTCACCGCAAAACACCAATACACAGCAAGGTAGAAATTTTGGACCCGAGCACCTAAGAACCTACCGCCGCCGAGAAGCGCCAAATTACGCAGCTGGGCCACCGATTCGCAGTTGACGACCGCCCTCGGCAGGGAGAGCTTGCTAGAACACGGTTTTGAACCTTGAGGACCACCTCCAAGCCTAACAAGGGAAGGGCGAATGCGCGATCTCGAAATTCGTAAAACGCTCGCGGCTACCCCCAGGTTATCGACTACGGGGAACACGATGGTGTTGTCAGAATTTTCCACCGAGCCCTGTAGAGCGAGATACGGTACTTCCGGAAAAAGGATCATTTGCATGCGAGAAATTAGAATGATCCCTGAGGTTTATTAGGAGCTTCCAAGTATCCATCACTGTCGGTGAGTTAGTCGAGTGCTAACGGTCCTCGCTTTGAAATACCAACGAGGGTTCAGCTTCCACTCGTAATTCTTTTTGCTTATTGGGTACCGCTATTTTTGCCTGGCATTGACAGTAAATTTCCCAACGCTTCAAATAATTTTTTTGCAAGCTCCGAGCTCCAAAGCAAACAAAAACCAAACATGCACACCGACCGACGACGAAAAACAAAAAAAGCTGGCGACCGGTTGTGTTGTTGCAAATTGCCCCCAAGAAAACAAAAACTTTTGTTCTCTTGTTCTAAACTCTTGTTGGTATTTCAAAAAGCGAGCCCGTTAGCACGCGACTAACTCACCGACAGTGATGGATACTTGGAAGCTCCTAATAAACCTCAGGGATCATTCTAATTTCTCGCATGCAAATGATCCTTTTTCCGGAAGTACCGTATCTCGCTCTACAGGGCTCGGTGGAAAATTCTGACAACACCATCGTGTTCCCCGTAGTCGATAACCTGGGGGTAGCCGCGAGCGTTTTACGAATTTCGAGATCGCGCATTCGCCCTTCCCTTGTAAGCCTAAGCTCAAGCCCAAGCCTAACCTAAGCCAAGCCTCAGCCTTCTACTCACAAAAATATACCCTTTTTCGCAGTAATACACCAACAAGTCGGGCACGGTGGCGAAGGTCATCGAGTGTCCGCGCAGCATATAGTGGTTGTGACCACCATTTTCTGACCTGGAGTTTGTTGGTCATAGGTGCTTTTCCGCTATGCTCTACCGCTTGTTCGTGATCACATGATGCTCCACCTTGTCCTCTAGTTTTCTGCGGTAGGTGAGGACGAGCGAGTTGGCACGGTCAGAGAAGCGCACGATGAAGTTCTGGAATTTTTGCTGTAAATAGCAAAGAAGTTGGCAGGCTAGCAGAGATTGTTGAGGAAAACTACTGATCTTAAAAATTCTTCACCTACCCCGGGTTCCATATGCCGGAGAAATGAGGCGGAAGTCTCCCGAGTGATGTTGATCAGATGCCTGCGAAACAAAAAAAAACTCAGTTTTCTAAGGGCTACCATACCAAATCGGCATCGAGACTACAAGCCTTTCGAGCAGTGGAGGCACCACCGGCTCGTGCTCCGACTTTTCGGGCTCATCGCCTGTCCAACCGGTCGTCGCATCCAGTACGCGGGAACTTGTCCGGAAAACCTCATTCCGGGCAGCACGTGTGCTGGCCATCACTGCAAAATAAGGATTGCGAAATTGATTAAGAAAACATTCAACCTTGCCTAATAAAGAGGCAGGAAAAGAGGGATAATCACCCTTGAAGATGATACGGCACCCAAGCAAAACGCCAACCGGAAATAACCGGCGCTAGCGTGAAGCCGAGGGGAAACGACTCTCGCGCGCACGGCGATTAATTATCCGATGGGCCCTGTGGGGGTATTTGCCGCTGGGCCCTTCTCACTGTCTGTCTGCCCGATTGTGGGTCTGTTTGTCCGCTAGGCTGGGTGGGCATTGTGACCCCATCCACCCACCTCCGGGCCCATTTGGACGGGGGCGGAAAGCCGGAAAAACTGGGCCGGGGCTTGGGCGCAAATTATGGGGAGCTCACTGGGCAAATGGCCAATCATCTGTAGGGTCGGTAGGTCGAAATTCAGTGGTATAGAACGGCCTATCAGCATTTTCAACGCTGTGTTTTCAGTGCAGCGAAAACCATTTTGTCAGAAAATTTTTTGTATAAGTCTGGAAATGCTAATTTAATAGAAAGTGTTTCAATAGTGTTTTAACAGTATATAACTATATTTTAACTAAGAAACTATCCAAAAACTTTGAAAAAGTCGAAATCTTGGTAAAAAATCGGGCTTTTTCGGGTTTTTGGGGTCTCCTCACTAGGGAATGGTCTCCACTCGACATCGAATTTCTTGTTGCAAGTTTGCTCTATTTGTAGATCTCGACGAGACGAATCGTTTGATGTAACTTTTAGCTGCGGATACTTTATTTTAACAAAGTTACAGCCCATTAAAGTTGTTGACCTACCTTCATAAGCCCTCCCCGCATCCCCGACACCGTGGCCTGGTGGCCTAGTGAGCGTAGTAGGCCTCCTCTGGGAATCTAACGAGGGTTCGAATCTGCTCACGATTTTTATTTTTGCTTTTGGTCCTAACGTTCCTTTTGGATTTGCAGGAGTTAGACAAACTCTTTTAGATTATTTAACCTTTATGAAAGTTTTAGAACGATAAAAGGAGCTTCGGAAAATTTTGGGCTGAAGGCACAACCCCATCATGCTCATACCTTGGCAAATTAGTTATTGGTAACATTCAAATGCCTTTGTATTCGCCAGGGCGTTAGTATTTACTAGGGAATAAAATATACAACATTTCAAATTTTATTAAATTTTTTTGAGGCATATAATATACAAATCCATTCCAATGGCTACTCCTTCGAACAAAAAAATTGTAAAGTTTTTCCGAAGCCGTTTTTCGTACCAAAACCTAATGGTGGTTAAATAATCCAAAAAGAGTTTGTCTAGCTCCTGAAAACCCAAAAGGAACGCTAGGACCAAAAAAGCAAAAATAAAAATCGTGAGTGGATTCGAACCCTCGTTAGATTCCCCAGAGGCGGGCCTACTACGCCACTAGGCCACCAGGCCATGGTGTCGGGGATGCGGGGAGGACTTATGAAGGTAGGTCAAAAACTTTAATGGGCTGTAACTTTGTTAAAATAAGGTATCCGCAGCTAAAAGTTACATCAAACGATTCGTCTCGTCGAGATCTACAAAATGAGCTAACTTGCAACAAGAAATTCGATGTCGAGTGGAGACCATTCCCTAGTCAGGGTCTTGAAAGGGCTTTCAGTCCTTACTTCGCAACGTCCAAAGAAAAGGGAAGGAGACACAAACATTAATGACAGGATGGACTTGACGATTTTCGGCGGTAAGGGCAACCAAAACGAAAATATTTTCGTTCTCCAGGAGCTTGGAGGGTTTTAAGTCGAACCAAAAATACCAGAGTGCCCCCCTCGCTCCACTCAATCTCCCCGCACGGCATACCGGTTCGGGGGCACTTTGATCCTTACGAAAAAGGAAGCCTCACTGCCTCCTTTCTAGTTGACTAGACAATGGCAAGCCGAGGGGAAAAGTCTGGCTTAAAAGCTTGGATTCGAAACCGCTAAAAATTATAGGTATCTAATAAAGGGACAAAGTCGTGTCAAAAAAAAAACGCAAAAAATCACATTTCGAAGAGGGATTTTTGTGGAAATGTGGAATCTCGACATTATGAAATTTCTACATTCTCAAAGTTCCTGAAAAATTAAGAAAATTCTCGAGAAAAGCGATTCCAAATTGGCAGGTGTTCGTTTCGTTCCGCGACGGCCGGCCAGCCCGTATTCCCCGACCAATGTGGCCGGGGACATGTGGATGATTCGAGGTCACCCCGGAGCGGGCAACGCTACCGCACAACCACCACCCCCAATTTTCCGCCCCTCAAAGGCTGTTTTCGGCCAAAAAGTCCGGATTTGGCATACTGGTCAGTGGGCAACGCCAGGTTACTTTTCGAAAATCAGGGGCTTACGGGGTAAGTACATTGCTGGGCTATTGGACTTTGCGAAGGGGACAGCGGGTTCGAATCGTGGAAAGGTTTCCGGAATTCGGCGTATACTGCGACCTCGAGTTGGAGCAGTTCAGTGACGTCTCTCTAGGTTTCTGCGAGGGCTTGGAGCTGTAGGGCTAGGGTTAGGCTTAGGCTTAGGCTTCGGGGCTAGGCTACGAAAATTTTTCGACATTTCCGTCGGGATTTTGGCTACTCCATTCGATAGAGCAGCAAAATATATACTCAGCGATTGAATTACAGCCCAAAATAATGCAGAAGTAAAAAGTTATAGCGAAAACCTATTGGGAACTTCCGGCGGAGAGGGGTGGGGTGGTAAAGTAAAGTCTTACCGGCTTCGGGCTCAGAAATCCAAAGTTATGTCGTGCCAATTTAATACTAGCAGAACGAAACGCTTAGTGCATAAATAAATCGATTCCAAAAAGCCTTCGCATTCCTATGTGCCCCATGGTGTATGAGGGACACCCCAGAGGTCTAAAGGGATGAGTCACGACGCGGCGGTCGACGACGCAACGCGAGGCGCCGTGTGATGATATTCGAAATCCGGGCCATGTCCAGTGCAGAAAAGAACAACCCGAAATCTGATGGGCATGAGCACGAGTTGGTATTATGGCCGAAAGCTTGTTTAGAATGGAGACCGGGCCGCGAAAAGTTTAGGCGCGCCCACATCTGCAATGAGGGATGAGGGATGGATTGCTGGGGCAGGCTGGTCAAAGTTATGAAGGGGGGACACTGGGCCATAGTGGCCAAAATTTCATTTTACAGCTAGCGAGGGACTCACCGGCAAGAGGAGCCTTTCGGAATACCACCACCTGCGGGGCGGCAACTTCTCGGAGATGTTCAGGATCGGAGTAGCTGAAAGGTTACTTTATAAAAATTTTAATTAAAATCAAAATTGCTGCGGCTCAGCCAAGAGAAAGAGCCAGAGACAGAGAGAGAAAGAGAGAGAGGGCGAGAGAGATAGAGACAGAGAGGGAGCAAGTGTCTGAGAGAGAGGAGGGAGAGAATGAGAGCAAGAGAGAGGAGAGAGAGCGAGAGAGAGAGACAGAGAGAAACAGAGAGAGAGAGAGAGAGAGAGAGAGAGAGAGAGAGAGGAGAGAGTATGGAGGGAGAGAGCGAACAAGGTAGAGAGAATGAGAGAGATAGAGAGAGCAAGAAAAGAGAGAGAGAAAGAGAGAGAGATAGAGAGAGAGAGAGAGAACCCGGCTGCTAATCATACATTCTAAATTTGCCGGTATAGAATTTAACCGGTAGCCTAACCACGAAACTGCAGTGGTTTCCCTAAAAAAACGTGGCGTCCACGGTCCAGTGGTGCGGCACTTTTGCATCGAGACAAAGGGGTAGATTCGGCGGAAAATGTGCTGTGGGAACATGTGCCCCCGGGGCTCGTACACATGCCCCCCCCCCCCCCAGTCAGCTCACCCTTTCAGTTTTTATGGGCCATTCGAATCTTTTCTCAGGGCCACCACCTCCCGAAAAACCACTGTCCCCCATATGCGCCCTACTTGCTGCCATTAGCTGTTAAAGGGAGGGGCAAGGGTTGAAGCAAAATTTTAACAGCAACTTGTGCTGGGACCGGCAAGCGAAGAAAGAGTGAATGGACAGTTGCGTTGGCAGCACCCAACAACAACACAATAAATCAAGGGGGCACCAACCTCATAGGAGGGACTTCAAAGGTGATGCTGCCTCTGGGCGGAACTTCTAAAATTTTGTTGAGGACACGCATCCCAAAAGACAGAGACAGACAGAAAACTCACCCGATCCGTCGGCTCTAGCTTCGCGAAAGGTTACTTTTTTCTTACTGGGCGTGGTAGTAATTTCGGAATTTCCCGGATCCTCAGGCACCGTTTCTGGTAGCGTCCGACCTAATAAGTGAAAGGCATCAGCCAGGTTTAAGCCTAATTCAAGCCTAAGCCTAACTTAAACTGGAGCGTAGGCCAAGCCAGAGTCTAAGCTTAAGCATAAGCCTAAGCCTAAGCCCAAGCCAAGGCCTAAGCCTAAGCCTAAGCCTAGACCTAAACATTGCCTTAGCCGAAAACTAAGTCTAAAGCTGACTCCAAGCCGATGGAAGCTAACTATTCTTCAACCTCCAAACGTACCTTCCGAACAAGGAATCACACCTTCTGTAAATAGCACAACGCGGCTCATCAGACTTGGTCGTGGAGGCGGCGTGGGCCTCCAGCAGACTTTGGTCGGTCTCTCCTCGGCCATACCGTCACAGACCAGCCTCACCAGCTTCATGTTCGAAAAAATGATGCCCCGGGGCCCGGGCTTGGTTCCCACGCTCCCTCCGTCTCCGCTCAATCGATGGGCGGCGGCTGCTGCAAAAAAATGGTGCGCCCCCGAGGTGGTGGTCGAACGAGAAGCAAAAATAGAAGGACAACGACAAGAATATTAAAATGAGGGAAGTTTTGAACGGTGATGGTTGGAGGTTCTTTTTACTCCTTCCCAAAAAAAAAACCAGAGGCCGTCTTCAACCCGGGGCATTTCAGGGCTAAACGGTACGCGCCATATGAATCAGCTGCGCCCTTTCGATTTGGTGGCTCAGCAGGACAAATCGGCTGCTCACATCCATTGGGGCAGACGGCAGAGACACACTGATGGGGCTGTCTTAAGTGAGTCATACGCATTTGGAAATGTTATGTTACCTACGGTTATTGAGCGATTGGTTGGTTCCCGAGGTACTGATGGATTTCGCGGCGATGAACCTAGGCTAGGCGTATGCTTGATCATAGGCTTAGGCTTGGTCTTAAAGGGCTGCCGACGGCAAGTGTCGATCCCCCCTCATCAACAAATTGGCAAGTAGCCAACAGGGGAGAGAGCGCGCCCAGGGGAGAGGCGCAGAGACATTTTCTTTTCCGCGCGTAACCGATTGTCTATTATGCCGTCGGCATCCCTTTAAGCTTCCGCTCACAAGGGAAGAATTTTTCGCTGATTCTGAACCCGCTTCCAAATTTTGCCAAATAGCTCGTTTTAGAAAGTTATAGCGCTTCAAAGTACCATTTTTCCCAAATTCGCGAAGTTCAAAGTCATGTATTTTTCCTGGCCTGGTTGATTTCTCAAAAAACCATTATTGTCTTCGTGTTCAGAAAAATTTTCTCTATTGAATTAGCTGCTTAGCTCAAAATTGACAAAAATCAAAAAATTTCAAAAAATGACTTCTTCTGGGGTCAAATGCGACCTTAAATTCAATATAACTTTTTGAAATTTGGCTATTTGGCCAAAATTTAATGCGGATTCGGAATCAGCGAAAAATTCTGCACAAAAACAGCTAGGTCCGATACCGAAACGTCTGCTCGACCTTGGGTGGTTCCCTTGTTAGACTTCAGCTTAGGCTTAGACTTAATTTCCCCCCCCCCCCCCAATATCAACGTAGTCCATTTATTACCACTTAACGGTCCAGCTTGGCTCCCCCGGGTGCACTCGGCAAGGGGCATTTATCGGCCGTGCTAAATGGCGGGCATGGTGAACCAGGATTTACGACACCTTTATCACCCAACCGGGTCAATTCTGCGGGGGATGCGTGAAATCTCAGACCCGACAAAAAACCTTATCGCTCCCGCGGATCTCTCGCCGTCATTTTAAACTGTGGCTTCCCCTGTGGCATTCCAATCCGTCGTTTCGGAATCTTTAATTTCGCTGGAACTCCATTCAAAATGGCATGGTTCTTTCGGACATTAATTTTAGCGGCTTTATCGAGCTGTTTTCTTTGTGAGGTGAGTTGATTTTTCCTTTTTCAGTCCTATAAAAATCCAAAAAAAATTGTTGAAGTCTAGGGCTCCCAAAAAAAGCGGATACCCCAACCGCGAGTTGCGATCATTGGCGCTGGGATGGCCGGGTTGTCGGCCGGGAAACGGTAGGGTTTCCTGGGTAGTAACTCTTTGGCAAAGCACATTCTACGACACAAGCTCTCGATTCAGCCTAATGGAGCTCGGCCTGACCGAATACGATATCTATGAGGGAGCAGAACGAATCGGGGGCCGCATCCATTCCATTCCATACCGTAACCAGTTCGTTAAGTTCCAAACAACGCGCGCTTAGACGGCGGCTACCTCCAGATGGGGGCGCAATTCATTAACGGCGAGGCGAACCCGATCTATAAGATTGCGTCCAAGTTGGGGCTGATTGAGGGCGAGCTGTCCGACTTGGCCCACTTCACCGAGTCCATCTACCCGTCCGGGCCATGCGAAACTTACAAGTCTGTTTCTTTTTAGTCTGTTTTTGGCTTGTCGCGGATGTTAAAACATCTAGAGCAAATTAAAAGATTCTGAGCAAGCTCGATTTGAGTTCTATTAAATTCTATCCAAAATCTTTGCAGATTACTCCTTTTCAGGAGCGACTTCCAGTTATTCATGGATTTCATTGAGCCGCTGGACACCAAATATCGTACCCTAGCCGAGGTCGACGAAAAGATCGCACGCTCCCATTCGATGAAAATGCTGTTCGACCTGGACTTTGCCGAGTTCGTAAAGGTACGAAAAATCGATAGTTTTGCTATTTTTCAAGAAAAAATTTCTAAAGTTTTTACGTTTAGGAATAGTAAAAAACCATTTCGAGACCTTGAACGATTTTGATTTGAAAAATTAGTTCCTAACAAGGAGTGCCTTTTGGGTGTCATCGGCAAATCCCTTCGAGACCTAGCTCATTCGATAGAGAATTTGATTCTGAACAAAACCCCGTTGTTCTTTTTTGCAGAATCGCTATCCCCGATTTTATAAAATTTTAAAACTGCACCCAAAAGCCTCCTTTTTGGCTCGAAAGGCACTCATGGTAAGAGACGGTCACTAGTATTTTAATTTTATAAAATCAGAGATAGTCATTCTGCAAAAAAGAACAACGGGGTTTTGTTCAGAATCGAATTCTCTATCGAATGAGCTAGGTCTCGAAGGGATTTGCCGATGACACCCAAAAGGCACTCCTTGTAAGAAAAAAAATTGGGTTTCCCGCCTCCCCTTGGAACTGAAATCCCTAAAAGAATGGATTATTTTTCTAGGAGCACAAGATCTGCGGTAGACGCCTGAATTACTTTGAGGCCCTATCGCGGCCCTATCGCTCCTACTGGGAATTTGAATGGTCGTCGGATTGGGGAGATGTCGGTGATTTCACAAAAATTCTGAGCAATGGACAAGTTTAGCAAAGTTTAAGCAACCTGCGGGACTGGGACGATCAGGGGGCCATTGGCGTCTCCTACACGACCACGAAAATTGGCTACAAGGGCATTATGGACTTTATGGCAGGGCAATCCCCAGCACAGAATCTGCATCTGAATCATCGGGTTGCTAATATCAATTATGGGGGTGATTCGATTGAGGTAAGCAGCTAAATTTTTGCGTAGGTCTCTGAAAATACACATTTTCTTTTGACCAAACTCTGGAAAACTTACACTCTTTGTAATATTATTAGCGTATTATTAATATTGTCATAATAATGGCTAGACGAGGCCTGCGTTAAAACGTTCTTTCGTCTAGTTGACGCTCCACAACGGCTCAAAAATCGAAAAGCTCTACGACTATGTGATCGTGACGGCGTCGCTGGGCCATCTGAAGAAGTACGCTGGCCGCCTGTTTACGCCACAGATTGGCCGTTTCAAGCGGAACCTAATAGACGCCGTAGGTACGCCTACGTTTGAAAACCTTTAGGCTAACCTCTAACGTTTAGGGTTTGGTGGTTCCTGTAAGATATTCATGCGTTGGGAGGAGCCGTGGTGGCTGCCGGGCACCCATTCCATTGCCCCACTCCCGATCAAGGTATTTTAAAGTGACGGTGACATGCAGTTTTCTAGGGATGCCTGGGCCGCGAGGTTGAGGTGGATCGCTTTGAAGAGGAGATGACGACATTGCAAGTAAGCCTCAAGGAGTAGCACGAACCACATATATAGACTGTAGCCTGGGAAAAGAACACATTAATGGCATGGATCGCGGGCAAGGGTCATCGGCTGATGGACGGTCTCGAGGATCAAGAAATTGTCGACAGGACCACGAAATTGATACGCTATGTGATGAACAATCAAACGATTGCGCCGCCTTCAGAAATTGTTAGGTGAGCTAATTTGTGGGCAAATTCCGAGAATCCGGATAGGTCCGATCGTTTTACCCATAAATGGTTTTAAAATCTGGGGTTTCTGGCCGTCGGGATTTTTGCTGCCGGGATTTTAAATGTCGGGATTTTGGCGTTTTTCCTCTGTGGGCGTCGGAAATAAACTTGTGTATTGCAGGACACGTCTCACCCAGAACGAGCTGATCCTTGGCGCCTACTCCTACGTCAGCCAAGCACAAGCAGCTGCCGGACTCAAGCACGCCGACCTGGCGATGCCGTTGAAGCGGGATGGAAAGCTTCGAGTGATGTTCGCCGGAGAGGCGACACATTACAGGTGAGGCCATCAACCTGTCCGAAGGCTTTTTTAGAATGTTCGAGACGGCCGTCGGCGCCTACCAGTCGGGACGTCGCGAGGTCGACCGTCTCGTCGAGGACTGGGCCATTCGGCATGGGGTCCGGCGGAAGAATGGCAGCTCACCTGGCCAGAGGATGGTCCGAAAGGGTGTCGACAAGAAGCAGCGAATATCATCGGTGTGCAATAACAAAAGCGACGGCGGTTGCCATTAGTTGTCTTGCTTTTCCAATTCATTTACGGGTGTGCCACGAATAAAATTTTGATCACCGTCTCGTTTTATCACATTTTATACTCGTAAGGCCGGCCAAAACAAAGCGTCTCGTCGACAACTCATGTTTTGATGAGGGTCAGATCCTTTTCTTGATTCCGCCGCTTCCGACTCGGCATGTGCTCCACCTAAAATGAAAATGATTGATTTTGATGCATGCTTCAAACCATGGCTTGGTTCTTGGTTTCCGGCAGAACAAAGTGCCAGGTGAGGATGTCGATCAGGGCCGTGATGCACATCACCACGAATGGCAAACCGATCCAGTGGTCACTCTGAAAGATCCTACTATATATAAAAAAATAGTGTTTGTGTGTGTGTGTGTGTGCCACTTTGCATGCAACTTCCGTCAGGGTGTCCGGAGGCTAACTCAAGGGGGGAAGGGTATTAGGCTACATATGATACGTCATTAGGAGCGTAATGGTCTGGAGATGACTGCACGCATATCAGATTTTGCAAAATATGCTAATTTCGATATTAAAAATCATTTTTTGTTAAAAAATCGGGAAGCCTCTTTGTTAGGCATTAATTAGCATAAGCCGGAAGTGGCGGCAGCTTATATAACGGCGGAGAGGCACATTTTTCATTATTTCCCCACAAAATTCGGTCGAATTATGCAATGTGCAGGATATCATGGGCTCAGACGGGGCCAGGGTTGAAAAGTCGCGAAGCGGCTTTTCAACCCTGGTTAAGTTTAAAGACGTACTGGAAGGTAAACCAAAGCCCTTTTAGGTTCTTTGATCTTTCCCCATTTTAAAGAGGCTCCGAAATCTAGCCCACGGCCCCTTGTGTTGATTCCTGGCAAATAGCCAACGCGATCGCGACGCGTCCGCGCCGCAGGATCTTTTGCCCATGTTTGGGCGTGAAAACGCTTGAATATAAAAATTCTGACGCTTTATCTGGGATCCACATCGAATTTAGGTCATTCTAGACATTTTAGTTATGACAATTGTTCCGAAAATCAGCGACATCGGGAGATTGGGTGTCTTACAAGGCATTACGACGTGTAATCACCGCGCACTCAAAATGTCGTTTTCGTCCCCAAGAACTTTTCGGTTTTACTCAAATATTTGGCGTTTTTTTCGCGACGAAATCATTTTTCTGGTATTGATCGGCCGCAACCCTTTTGTTCTTCACCAATGGTGTCAATTCTTAAATGCGCGATTTTGACTTCCGAGTCCCTTTAAAGCCTTCCTAGAAGGTTCTTACCAAATAAAAGACAAATGGCGAAAGCGTAACACCGCAACGGTTGAAGAACGATTGGAACGAGTAGCCGAGGTTTCGGATTGGCGTGGGGAATATTTCGTTCGACAGGATCGTGGCGGCAATGTAAATCTGAAAAGGTGATCGTGTATTGGCGCCTGGAAATTCCCACCTGGGACGTCATCGACACGGCAATGAGGATCGAGATACGAATCCAAAAGCTCAGCTGCTCCGACATTTCTGAAGACATTACACTACTGTACTTATTTCATGCGCCCACCGTAGTAATGGGCCCCAATGACGAGGAGCAGAGGCAAAACGATGAACAACAGCCCGAACCAGTGCACAAATTTGCGCCCGCACCACTTGTGCCTGTAGTCGAGCCAGGCAAATGCCACATTCGTTGCCCATCTATGCAAGGTATCTTAGATTTTCCAGGTTAATTATACCTTATTAACCCGGTGTACACCATATTCATGTAGATCGACCCGCTCATCTTCTCAAAGTTGAACATGATCCCGTAATTGATAATCGAGATTGAGAAGCTGAAAGGAGAAATTAGACGCTGCTCGCTTTGCAATTATCGATTTTTTTTTTGTAAAAATCCTTACAAGGTAAAGGAGAGAATGAGCGTGATGGTGGTGAGCCATGGCGTTGAGAAAAGGTGATAATAGTAGTAGTGTTTACTCTTTGCTCGTTGCCTCTCAATTAGCTAAATGAATTGTGTAATAGGTGGAACCTTTCGGTGGTGCCTGGAAAACGTTCTCGTATACCTGGCGGTGACCGACCACTGCGATCACGATGCGCTTGTCAGATTTTTTCTTAAAATAGACCTGTGGTCAGAGATATAGTCACTTCCTGAGAAATGATCGATATACATGCAAAAATTAGCATTAGAAGGACGGATTATGAGGCTCTCCCATCTATGTAAACACCAGTTGAATGGCCGAGTGGTAAGCGACCCACTGGGTAGGATGCTGACGAGGGTCCGAATCCGCCCATGATTTTTTGTTTTTGCTTTTGGCCAGAGATTTTGCGCAAGTCCAGAATGTTTCTAGTAATAGCCCGAAATCCCTAATGTTTAGCCATTAAAGGCGAAAAAAATTGGAAAATGAAAATCAGTTTTGCCGGCTAGAGATCCTACACCTGACCATCTGCAAAACATGAAAAAATTTTACAAGAATAATTTTCTGACCACGTAATGTCGACAACTATCATAAAATTTAGAAGTACTTCAAGTATGATTTTGGACTTGTACAAAAATCTGGCAAAAAGCAAAAACAAAAAATCGTGAGCGGATTCGAACCCTTGTTAGCATCCTATCCAGCGAGCCGCTTACCACTCGGCCATTCAACTGGTGATTCCATAGTGATGGGAGAGCCTCATAAACCATCCTTCTATGCAAATTTTTTGCATGTAAATCAGCATTTTCCGGAAGTGCTGTATCTCTGTCCACAGGTCTATTTAGAAAATCTGACAAGCGCATCGTGATCGCAGTGGCCGATTACCCGGGGGTAGCCGCAAGCGTTTTCCCGAAATTCCACCATGTCTCCGTGAGGTTCCCTTGTAAGC